GCAGTAATGGTGAGATGACACCCTCCTCCCATCCCATAACCCCTGCCAGGTATATAATGAGTTCATTCTGCCCTCGGAGCGAGATGGATTCCTGAGCCGGATCCGGGAGATTATCCAGAGAGTGGAGACCCTGCTGAAGAGAGATGCTGGTCCCCCTGAGGCTGCTGAAGATGCCCCGAGCCCTCAGGTCAGGCCTCTAGACATCTTCAACAGGACCAGATTCTGCCCTCAGAGTTCTACTTGGATTAACTTCTCTTGAGTTTGAGGACCTTAGAAATGTCTCTTTTGTTTGCAAGTATGATGAAAGCCACAGACTTGTTCTAGAAAACTGTGAATGAAGATTTTCAACAAGTGCAGACTCACAGAGAGAAGTTACAAGAACTGTAGAGCACATTTCTAGATGCCCTTAGCCAAGATTTGTTCATTGCTAATATTTTTTTAAACTAACTTTCCCATCCTTCCTCTGTATTATACATTATGTCCTTTTGAACCACTTGAGACCATGTTGGCAGATCTCATGCTTCTATCTATAAAATATCCAGATATTTTGTTTAGCACATACACTTTTGAATCCTGAGAAGCCGTATCTCAATTCCTAGAGGCTTATGGATTGTAGCTTAAGGCTCGCAAGTCTGCAACTTCCCATCAGTGACTCCTCTTTCTCCACTGTGACTCAAGGCCCCTTTTCTCCCTCAGGAAGAGACAGCAGCCCTGCCTGCCCTCCCAGGCCCATCCAATGGTAGGTTCTGTGTCTGTACCTGCTCACCCCAACCTCTGGGTTGAGCTTGTGGAGGGTGGAGGGTATAGGGCTTAGTGGTTTCAAATCTCAACCCTTCTTCTTCATCAGAGCTCCAGAGAAGCATCTCTCCAGAACAGAGGAGCTGGGCAGCCTTCTCCACCTCTCCATCTTCTCCTGGAACCCCCTTGTCCCCTGGAACCCCCTTTTCCCCTGGGACCCCTCCTGTCTTCCCATGCCCCATCTTTCCCATCACTTCACCCTCATGCCATCCCTACCCGTTCTCCCAGGTCTCTTCAAACCCCTATCCACAGGCCCCTGGCTCCCTACTTCCCTCCTCCACCAGTGCTTCTCAGGTTCCATTCCCATCCTCTTCTCTTTCCATTGGCTCCCCCCTCCCATTCTCTCCTAGTTATTCCCAAGGTCCTCTTAGCCCCCCTTCTATTCCCGTCTGCCCCTCTCCTTCCCCTCCCCCCTCCACCACAGCAGCCCCTCTCCTCTCTCTGGCCAGTGCCTTTTCTCTGGCTGTGATGACTGTGGCCCAGTCCCTGTTGTCCCCCTCCCCTGGGCTTCTTTCTCAGTCTCCTCCAGCTCCTCCAGGTCCTCTGCCTAGCCTGCCCCTCCCCCTTGTTTCTTGTGACCAGGAGAGCCTTTCAGCCCAAACAGCTGAGACCGAGAATGAGGTGAGTGGGGTATGAAGAGGGATAGGATAACAAGGAGGGTTTCCGGATCTTTCCCTTCCTCATGATACCACACTTTGTAGGCTTCCCGAAGTCCTGCTCAGCCACTACTGGGTGATGCTAGACTGGCACCCATATCTGAAGGTGAGGCCTCTAACCCCTGACCTTCCCCTGCCTGTTAGCCCCAGAGCTAGGCTTCTTTTATCCTCTTCACCTTCCTCCTTATCTTCCCACAGAGGGAAAGCCCCAGCTTGTTGGCCGTTTCCAAGTGACTTCACCCAAGGAACCAGCAGAGCTTCACCTGCGACCAGCATCCCCACCTCTCTCCAGATCCCTAAAGCTTCCAAGCCCTCAGCTGACCTCAGAGAGCTCAGACACAGAGGACAGTGCTGCAGGAGAATCAGAGACCAGGGAGGCTCTGGCAGAGAGTGACCGCGCAGCTGAGGGCCTGGGGGTTGTGATCGATGAGGAAAAGGATGAAGGGAAGGAACCCCAACTTGGGGGCAGTTCCCCAATCTTGAGCCACCCCAGCCCAGTGTGGATGAACTACTCCTACAGCAGCCTGTGTCTGAGCAGTGAGGAGTCAGAGAGCAGTGGGGAAGACGAGGAGTTCTGGGCTGAGCTGCAGAATCTTCGGCAGAAGTGAGTCTGGGGAAGATGGCAGAGCTAGAGGCGAACCTGGGAGAACAGAGTGTCTGACTAGCCTTTTCCTGCCCTCCGTGCATCCTCAGGCACTTGTCGGAAGTGGAGGCACTCCAGACGCTACAGAAGAAGGAAATCGAGGACTTGTACAGCCGCCTCGGGAAGCAGCCCCCACCTGGTATTGTAGCTCCAGCTGCTATGCTGTCCTGCCGCCAGCGCCGCCTCTCCAAGGGCAGCTTTCCCACCTCCCGCCGCAACAGTCTGCAGCGCTCTGATCTCCCTGGCCCTGGTGAGATGGCAGCCACCCAGCTTTCATCTTTCCCTTGAGACTCCTTCCCCATTGGCACGGTCTTCTTCCAGGCCCTGGCTGTCTACTCTTGGTTCTGGGGGACTAGCCCCTCTCCTCGCTGCCCCTCCCTCCACTTAGTGCTCTCCCTTCCCTCTCCCCACCCCCATCCTGCTCCCAGGCATCATGCGAAGGAACTCTCTGAGTGGCAGCAGCACCGGCTCCCAAGAGCAGCGGGCAAGCAAGGGGGTGACATTCGCCGGGGATGTTGGCAGGATGGTGAGGGGCGGGCCCAAGGGAGGGAGAGCCAAGGGAATGGTGGCTGACAGCAGCTCTGTCTTCCTCTTCTTGGGACATTTCTTCAGCATTTTTCTTTTCCCCTCCAGTGAATTCAGACCAGAAGTCCTATGTCTTCCCCAACACCAGGGCCCCACCATGGCCCGTGGCCTCTCAGAATCTGGTGTTTTTGTGACCAACTCAACTCAGCAAAGAACACCCCAGCACTGAGGGGGTAGAAGGCCTGTGGGCATGGAGAGTGCGTTGTGTTATCCTGAAGAGCCAAAACGTGCGGGTTCTCTTTGCTGTGTGGAAATCTCATTTCTATAGCCTACCCCACCTGCATCTTCTGCTCCTCCCCAGGCAAGGGCTGACCACTAAGCCATCCAAGTCCAGATGCTTGTAGGCCAGCTTCCAGCTGGGAGAATGCAGGGCCTGTGCTCATGTCACCAAAGTTAACAGCAACCAATAAAAATATTGAGGAGAAAGACTGTGGGTCTGTATCTGCCATGCCATAGGGATGGTGGGGGTCGGGGTGGGGCAAAGACTTGTGAGGCGAGCAAGAGGCTGAGGAACTGGAAGCCATTCTCCTCTCACAATGGGAGGCAGGATGGAAGCGGCCCAGCTTTCTGGCTTTTTGCCACCAGGTCATGAGGAAACTCCATGACCAATGGTCCAATGGACAAGCTATGATCCCCTCCAGACCCTGCCCTAGGCCTGTGTAGGCAGTTACCAGTAAACGTTCAAAGAATGAAGTTTCTTGTTGCCCATCCTTTACCTACCAATCTAGAGACTGAAAAAGGCTGTGACATTAAGAGTCTGTTCTTGAAGGCAGAGAGCAGAAGAGTGAGTGACCTTCTTCCCCACTAAGACCTGGTTCAGTCTCAAACAGTCCAGTAATCTCTCCCTTAAATCAGGTGGAAAGATCTCACGGAAAAAGTAATTCTAGTTAAACATTTACAGCTCCCTGGGGCAATGCCACCACTGCAGCTAATGCCAGGGAGCTTTCCAGCGTGAAGTGCCATGTGTCTCTCAGCCCCCACACACTAGCTTGGCTTCGGGAGAGATGACTCATTTTATTACTCTTAACTTGACCCTATCTTTCCCACTTTAGGTTCCAACTCTGCAGTTAGGCCGCACCCTCCCCCTTAACAGTTGGGCCCCTGGCAGGTGAAGGGGTAAACCACAAAGTTTGTGGAAAGGCAAGGTCGCATACCTCCCAAACAAGGAAATAAAAAGGGCTGAGTAACTGTACAAACTGCATGTGAAGTGAGTGATCCCCCCGCCCCCACTTAGCAGTGGCCAAATGCACAGTCTCTGGCTTCTTGGGCTCAAGCATAGTCCGAAGTTAGTATGCAAGCGATGCTGTGAGACCAGCAGGCATCATTCAACAAGTACAGGGGCTCCAGCAGTTTGAAGATGGTCCGTATAGTTAGGGTCCTGACGCTCTCTCTCTCTCAAGAGCGCGGGCTCGGGCAGCTTTGGCTTCATCTTCCAGCTCATCAAGGAAACGCTCCTGGGCCACTGAGTAGAAGGTGTAACCATCTGGCGGGGTGGGTTCAGGAAACCACAAAGCATATGGGCATTCCTTGCTTCTACCACCCCTGTTATTTTCCCAAATTAATGATTTTGGAGTGCCACCCTTTTGCTCTCTTTGAACCCTTAATCAACTTATTACTAAGCTACTAAGCGCAGGGTAGATATAGTAAGATTAGGTATGAACCCCATTTTGCCCGCACACTAAAAGCTACAGGTCTTGTTCCCTTTTCCCTAACCCCATATGCGGTACTGCCAGAACGGATACAAATAGCTAACACCAGGGCTCCGATGCCCAAGCCGGTCACGACGTTCCGGGTCCGCCGCTGTGGCAGTGTTTTCTGCCATTGGGCAAGTTGCACTTGCCGCATAAACTGCAACTGCGCAGGGGTCAATTTCTCCCGCGACGGGTCGATGCGCTGAGCGAACGGAGCATTTCCATTCTTAGCATCCAGAGGGTCACCTGCTCCAGGGGCCGCCATGTTGCTGCTCCGCCCTAAGCCGTCGATCCCGGAACTCGCCGGGAATTGTAGTCTTAGACTTACACAAGGGATTCTGGGAGTTGTAGTCCACGTGGAGTTTTCTGGGTAGAGGCAGGGTCTCTCCGCCCTAGAGGAGGGACAGGAAAGGTGAGAAGGGCCCTGTTTTCTGATTGGCTGAGCTCTCCGTGGCAGTTGGGGCGCGAAAAGCTGTTGACAGTTCGAGGCACTGGTGGGCATTACGTTTTCCTCAGATTCGAGGCGAGGACAGACATATAGAAAGGGAAGGAAGAATCCAAGGTGTGGCAGAAGATTCTGGAAATAAGCTAAGGAAGCTAGTTTATGGATCCCGTGAACTGTACAAGTGCTCCGAAAGACTTCTGAATATGGAAGGACCCTTGAGGCCAAGACTGGTTAACTGCAGTGACTTTCAGTTTGGAGTGGTTGGCACAGAGACCATCGAAAACGCTCTGCTTCACTTGGCCCAGCAGAATGAGCAAGCCGTGAAGGAGGCTGCGGGACGGACGGGGAGCTTCAGGGAGACCCGGATCGTGGGTGTGGATACAGAGTGGGGTGTTGGGTTTACGGGAGTCATGAGAGCCACGACCTTTGTTTTTCACTCATTTTGTTAGTACTCTTGTTATGCTAGGTCGTGGGCCTTATAAGCGATGAACGAGGCTTACCAGCATTCTGACTCTTGATTTCTTTCCCCATCTTCCCTGCCTCCACTCCTGCCTTTTTTTTTTTTTTTTTTTTTTTTTTTACAAAGTCTCACTGTGGAGCCCTGGCCTGGAACACTCTGTAGCCTAGACTGGCCTGGAACTCAGAGATACGGTTGCTTGTGGCTCCCAAATGCTGGGATTAGAAGCCCATGGCATCATGGGGAGAATTGTGCCCTCTTATGTTTATTGGTGTTTTGCTAGCATGTATGTCTGTGTGAGGGTATCCAGTCACCTGGAACTGGGATTATAGACAGCTGTGAGCTGCCATGTGGGTGCTGGGAATTGAACCTTGGTCCTCTGGAAGAGCAGCCAGTGCTCCTAACTGCTTGAGCCATCTCTCCAACCTCCTTACTCTTCTTTCTGTAAACGTGTTTAGAGTGCTTATCATTTCCCTTGCCTGGTATAGCAAGAGGGAACTGCCATCTAGCCATTGCTTTCAGACCTTGTAGCCTTTGGGTGGGAATAGTTAACATATGGACAGGTAGTTACAAATATGGTATGAGAGTAATAGACACAGAGAATACAAACTATTATGAGAATTTAAAGGAGTGGTAAGATGAGGTCCAGGGATTGAATGATATCATGAATAAAGCTTTGGAAGGCAGGAAGGAGGAAGAGAGTGGAGGGTACAGTTGTAGCCCAGGTTGGCCAGAGCATATGGAAAAACCATAGAAATTAAGACCAGGAAAGTAGTTTGGAGACATTCCAAGCAGAAGTTTGGATGTCTGTTGGGGAGGGGGGAGACTTTGTACTTGGTTTAGCAGGAAAATAAGAAGATACTAAAGTTTATTATTTTTTATTTAACTATTTTGGATGTATATGTGTATTTTGCCTGAATATATGTCTATGTACCACGTGTGGTTGGTGCTAGGAGCAACCAGAAGATAGTGTCAGATCTCCCAAAACTGGAATTATAGGCAGTTGTTAGTCTTCTGATGTGGATGCTGGGAATTGAATCCAGATCTTCTGGAGGAGCAGCCAGTGCTCTTAACTGCTAAGCCATCTCTGCAGAGTGAAGAAGACGCTGACATTTAAATGAGGAAGCAGTGTGGCTGTAATTTTCCCTCTGGTAAAGATTATTTAGCGTGTGGTGTAAAGGATGGAGTTGAGTAGAGGAGGTGGAACTGGGGAGCCTGTGTGTAGTCAGATAACAGACGATGGCAAGAGTGGGTTTAAAACAGCTCAGAGGCAAAATCTAGAAACTGAAGTTTTTCATTTAAGAGATGAAGACGGGAAAGATGACTGTCAAAGGACTGAGCCTCAGAGACTGGCAGCCTAGTGGTGCCATTCGGAGCAACATACACACAATGCAAAAATAAGGAAACGTGATGTTTGTTTGGGGGGCTGTTGTTTTGACTTGGATCTATTGAATCTAAGATCTTTGAAGAACATTCAGAAGAAGGTTAATAACAGACTGTTTTAAAGGGTCAGAACCAGAAATAAAGGTTTTTAAATTAGTCCCATGATACTTCTAGAAGGGAGAGAAGCGAAGTAGATCATTGACAGTTCCTTGGGAAACATTTTGTGCTCAGGGACTTGGAACAAGGAAGAGTCAATACAATGAGCAGCATGTGGTGGCTCATGCAGTAATCCCAGGACTGGAGAGATGGCTCGGCACTTAAACCCACTTGCTGCTTTTTCAGATGACCCAGGTTTAGTTTTCAGCGTCCACACGGGCAGGCTCACAGCCACATACATGTAAGTCTAGTTCCAGGGGACCCAATGTGTGCTCTTTGCAAGAATGTATTCTCTCCTCTCTC